ATCGAGGAGCGAGAAAAAAGGGACGTGGAGCCAATCAGAAGAAAACAAAACACCGAACGGAGCTGTTAATATCGGCATGATAGCTCCGTTATTAGCTGCCCGATAGTTCGGCAGTTCGTTTGGCTTCCACAAATACATATTGATTATTGACTATCTGTGACAAGCAAAGCAAACATAAGAAGCAAACATTTAAAAAACTAATAAGCAGGCTTAGAATTAATAAATACAAATGTACTCTGACAGCTTATGTGTTAAATTGAGCACAGTTGAATTTTTTATTATCGCAGGGTAGAGATCTGAACTTGCGACATTAAACTTATGCTACTGTTTGCTAAAAGAAGATCTTTTTAGAACGAAACTGCATAATAAATGTAGTTACTGTGTATATTTCGTCATTCGAATCAATTCATACGAAGCCAACCGGTGGTATATTGGATAAAACAACCGAACATTGACAGTTGGTTTTCGGTTTGCATTTCATTAATGGCTCGCTTGAAGTAGTTTTTTTTCAGTTTTGCACGCGTACCTAACACTTATATTAACATTAATAGAATACTTAAATAGAACCAGGAATAAATTGGGTTGATTGGATTGTCTTAAGCAATAAATTTTTGTTGTCAATGTTCTAACTTAACTTACGTTACTTTGCTTTTAGTATAGATATGTAATGTAATGGTATAGTAATTAATAATAAAGTAGCGTAATAAATACTATAGTCTATTTATCATAACTTGGCACCTAGTGTAAACAAAGATTTTGTCGTATTAATCTGCCGGAGATTTTCATTGGTCAAATCACAATCGGAAGTGACTAGACACGTGTTGACCAGTTAATCCGTTTTCTCTGCACGTGGTAATTAAAGTAGGTCAGAGTGGTTACAACAATTTAAAAGTTATCGAGATAATACTTAAGTTAAATAGTAAAACTTATACTAAAAGTTATTATAGCCTACTTTGACATTTTTACATAGCCGTTTAAATTATTTTCATCGTCATCGTCATCGTCATGCGGTCCAGACAAAAAAACGTCGGTTAACTTCTTCGGATTTAACCTATAAAGTCTCATCAATTTTTTGAAGAAATATTCTAAAAAATTGACCTTTTAAAAGAATATTAATTCCTTCTGTTGGCATTACACAATGAGCCATTTCGCTATAACTTTAATCGTTTCCATTCTGCTTGAGATTTATCCGCATTCCAAGTTTCGCAGCGATACGACAACTCCTTCTTGGTGTGCTAATTTTTATGGCTTGATTAAATTGGTTTGAGACGAACTTTCGGTTGGAATGAAAATGAAGGTCTACTTTAAGAGTTAGTGCTTTAAATTAAAGATGCTTTAGATACCATTTCTAGATGTAAGGCTCGAGTCACTAAAGTGAAAGGATGTTCCGATATATATATAACTAAACAGAATGGTCACATATGTCAGGTGTGTTTTTGTAATCTAATCCGGTAAGAATGTTGGGGTGAGATTTTCCCGACTAGAGAGGGGGAACTAGTGCATTCCTTCTGGTGTGGTCGGTAAGTGCTGACCAATAGCAAAAGTGTATTTTAGCTATATTTTGGATATTTTTAACAAATAAATTAGGATAATAAAATACATATACAAAGATAAATTACATTCATGTCAGAAAATTGCAATTTGATAATATCTTTTATTATTTCACATATAATTATATAATTTATATAAATAACAAGATTATATAAATTTCTATATATGAATATATGTACGACAAAAAATTTCGTTTCATCTCTATATTATACTTTTAAAATCAGTTCATTTTAGTTTCCACCAAATTCTATTTGACATAGAATAAAGAACATTTTTTTATTATTATTAACATAATAAACTTGTAATAAAGTAATTGATATAATGTAAAAATATGCTTGGCTTCGTGTTTCCTTCTCTATAATTTTAGCACTTATAATAGTTTGTGCTTCAAAACAGCGTTCTATTTTTTTAAATAGAACAATTTGCGTGAAATTCAGCAACGAGTTGCCTAACTATCTCGGCAACATTTAATGGCGTCATCAGTTACGCTATTTTATTATTAAAATGTTTATATTTTTAATTATTATAAATGGGCAAAAAGTTTAATTTTGAGAGTGGAGGTATTATCACAAAAAAAAATTGACAACGCACGTCATTAAGTCCGACTCTAATGCAGATACATACGACCCCAGTTATCTTCCCACTGTTTCGACCATCAATCACTAAAATTTAACATCATAAATTCCTCTAATCAATAGGAATTTCAAAAATTTTCCACACGGGATTTATTATATGTCTTTTTTCATACAGTTTGTAGGAAGAGAAAAAACCCTACTTTTCTGTTTTTTTATTTCTTTCACTCTGTTTATGGATGTTTATAATAAGAAAGAAACTGCATCATTTTAACAATAATGTAGGAACTGAACATAATTTGCCAATATGTAGTTCTTATTTTAATTAACCAGTTACTTTCCCGGTTGTTATAACAGAAAGAAACTATAACAATAATGCAAAAATGAGCCAGATTTTTACACTTTCGGATTTAGAGCACTTTGAAATGCCGCAAAATGCAAAAAAAATTCGCACTTAATTTCTATATGTATATATAGATGTTAATTTATGTGTGAGGGAAACGTTCGAACGATTTTGTTTATTCTATTTGAAGAATACTAACTCCTAAGATTTTTGTTAGAAATTTCTGAAATTTTGCAGGGTAGTTTGCTTATTAAATGTACTGATAATTTTATTATTGTTTATTAGGTTTTATATTTTATATTGTTTATTAGGTGTACTGATGCTGTTAAATTTTGGTAGTTAAAAGTCGAGGGGATGAGAAGTTAATGGGAGTAGTGTGTATCTTTCGCAGGATCGGCTTTATGACGATTTTACTAGTTATTAGATTTGTAATTCCTTTTATGTTACTTATTCCCTCCAAATTGTTGTTTTTACCATTTTATAATATTTAAAAATATAAAAATTTTTATTAAAATATAATAACAGATAATGCCAAAAGAAATGTAAATGTTTCCGGGAAAGTTGTGAAACTCGTTGCTGGTTTATCCTACTTTAACCTTTTGAATGGAGATAGAGTTAACATAATAAGTTAAATATAACATACCTCTTAATGTTTTCACAATTATCTTCTAATTCGACTAATTTTCGTTTTCGAATTTTATCCTTTTCTTTTTCCTTTGTGTGCGTGGGAGATTTAGGAATTTTGGCGACTATACTGTCTCTCTTCTACACAGACAACAATTTCTTCGATGGATAGTCAAGGGAACTGCCTTTTATGAGGTAGTCTTTTTCTTACGCGCATGACTCCTTAAATTACAACTGTCAAAACAAGACCGTTACTCTAGCAACACGTGACCGAAGTTGGACTGTTTACATTTTAAAAACACGATTAAATAGGCCTTCTCTATGCATTCATAAGTGCGTTTTAAAAACGTTATATTAACCATATTACACGTGATTTTATAGCTGCAAATTGTCACGTGTGCTGGACACGTGTCATTACCGAGTTTCTTAAGGCTGCACCTCTTGTTTGCTGCTACAACGGGAACAATAGTAATGAGTTTACTTGTCTTTCTTTGTGACTTGCTTTAAATCCCGAATAAACATTAATTAATTAATTAATTAATGTTCATTCGGGGATTAATTAATGTTTAATTAATTAATTAATTGTTTGATAAAATACCGATTGTGGTGCATGTGTCCCGTTCTAGAACTTAGAAATACATATATATAAATATTATTATATTATAATATATATTAGTACAGTACGGTAATAATAATAAAAAAATAATTAGAAATACATGTTAATCTACGTTATTAAAGTTCGGTGTCGACAGAAATTAAGTTAATCCAAGATGACGATGCCTGAAATACAGATCCCATTTGTGCTTTTAATGCGGAAACGACTTTTTTAGGGTTCCGTATTACCCACAAATTCAAACCATGTAACAGTGTTTGTAAAAGTTTAAAAGAGGCATTGAGTACGGTAAGGTACAAGAACATGGCCGAAGAAAGCTGCAAAATTTTATCAGGTGCACAAAACAACTTTCCTAATATTCTCTTCGCAAGCAGACATTCAGCTGGTAGGTTCCTAAACTAGTGATTCCTAAAGTTTTTCGATCCACCTCCGCCTGTAATCCATAAAGTTATACCCAACGCCCCAAACCCATTTCTTTTATGAGAAAGGCTTGGAAATATTGTTATAGAAACTTATTTTATGAAACTTCCACTTTGTTTCCTTACTATAATTGTTCTCCAAATCTGAAAAATATTAAGGGCGATTTCCCTTCACACGCGTTTTAAAAGAAAGAGCTTGTCAGTGACCCCTACGGTCACCCAACCTCCACTACCCCTGCCGCCTACTTTCTTCTTTTCACTTTTCTAGATTTACCAGTTCTAATTGGAGAAGCTCTGCGTTTAAAAATGAGGTCACCCTGACACAGGGCACGTCCCTAGAATACTTATTGCCCGTGTAGAAGAGAGACAGTGTAGCCGTTAAAATTCCTAAACTTCCGACGCACATAGAGGAAAAAAGGGAAAGAAATTCAAAAACAAAGGAAAATATCGCCAATTTAAAAAAATAATTGTGAAAACATTAACAGGTATATTATATTTAATTTATTATGTACACACACTCTTTCTCTATCTCCATTCGATAGGAAAATTCGATATTAGGATAAACCAGCAACGAGTTGCACAACTTTCTCGGAAACATGTAAAATTTTGATAATTTTAAGGGTATGGATGAGTTTTATATAAAAAATTAGAATTGCTAATAACGAGTACAATCGTCATTAAGTCCCGACCCCAATGCAGATACAGTACATACGATCCCCATTAGCTCTCAACCCCGTCGATATTCAATTATCGAAATTTAATAGCATGAATGCACCTAATGGAAGAAATAAAATCGAGGGAGAAGTGGATAAATAAAATAGCTGAAGACTTAAGTAAAATGATTGACGATGTAACAACGGTATTTTCCAGATGAGATGGCTTCTAAGAACCATATTTGTTTACCATATATCACGTGGGTTTCGTTGCTACAAACTAACACGTGAGTTGGTGACGTGCTACCCTTGGACTTTCTTCTATTATTAACCTTGAGTGTGTTTGCTATTCTTACTGCTACAACACGAACAATAGCACCGAGTGAGTTTATTTCTCTGTCTTTGTTACTCGCTCTAAAATTTGAGTAAAATTAATATGAATATTTACTAATTGATCTTGATTGATGATATATATTCAACTAGGGCAGGTTAGTGTTTCCTATTATATGAATTTTATTTATTTCTTTAAACGAATGTAAATTCAAACTCGAACGTTTTAAAATCTTTCATTAAAAACAGATTGTTGACATACGAGAATATCCTAAATTGAAAAATGAAGATAAAATTAGAGCCAGAAAATGAATATTTAGAATTTACATTTAACCGAGGTGATGAAAAGTTTCAAGTTTTAAAGAATTGCAAGAAAGAATTTAATACGGATAACAAAAAGTTCTGTAGAAGAATTAAATCAGAATCTTCAGAATATAAAAATATACAGGTGAGTAAAATGTACTTTTGTATACGACTCTAGTGTTGTTTCAAAGCGTCACTTGGAAACTTTCTACGTTTACATTACTCCTTCCAAAATTTTAAAATAAACTTTGTCTAATTAAATTCATGACTACGAGGGAAAATGTTGCGATTTTAATGAAAGAAAAGTCAGCCGAACCCCAAAGAATTCATCATGTCTACATATAAAAACTGTCAAACGGACATTAATTAATGAGACAGTTGTCTTCAGTTGCCTTTATTACGCTAATTGATTTACATTTATTTAATTTTCGTTACTATTTATTGGTTATTATTTGCAGCAGTTACCCGACTTCATTTGTGGTAATAACTAGGCTAATATTTTTAAATTTTAGACCTGTAGATTCCCTCTGTAGACAGTCTTCTCGTCTGTCTTTTTTTATTCCCGAAAACAAAGTTATGTAGATGAAAATCGAAAACTTATGAATCGGAGGGCCGATTAACCGTAGTCACGTAATTTTTAAATAAAAATATGATTAAAAATTGTAGCTAATATTAACGATTTTTAAACCTGAATAACTATGAATAATTATAAATAATAGAATTGATTAATTAAATAATACAGTTGAGTTGATTATTCTTTATCCAATTGAAATTATTAAAAGACACATATCAACAGTGGCGCGTTATAAGTTAATGGGACCAGGGCAAATTTCAATTATTTGACCCTTCAGGAAGTGAAGGGGAAGGAAGGGGTTGATCTTTAGTAAACGTTCGTTTATTTCATTAAATTTTGTACTGTTTATGCATTTTATTGTATGTCTTGTTTCTATTTATTGTATTTATCCTTCGTAAAGTTATGAAGGTTTTTAAAAAGGGTCGAGTCTTGTTGGACGTTTGAAGAAAAAGAGGGGGTTACGGAAACTTGGAGAAACTGGAACAATGGGAAAGGGAAAGTAAAAATGTGAAAAAAATGCAAGGGTAATTTATGGACAGCTCCAAAATATCACATTCATTGTAAGTCAGAGCTGAACTTATTCTAATTACAAATAACAAAAATATCATTAAATAGTTAATAAGAACGAGTCGAAATAGATATTTTGTATGTTTTATATCATATGAATCGGGTAAGAGACTAATTTAATTATAATTTATTAAAATTTTTGTATTTTGAAGCTTTTGAGTGAAGAAGTGTAATTTTAATAGAAAAAGAATTCAATATTTTATATCTAGAGAGAGTGAGATTATGGATTTTGACGTTTAATAAATTAGAAATTGTCATTTTGACCTATTCATTTGGAATGAGGATGCTCCAAATTTTAATCAAGTAAATTAATTTTTAGAATAAAACAATAACAGGTAATGCAGATGAAATATAATTATTTCGAAGGAATTTATCGATCAAACGAAATTTTATATTTCTGTTTAAATATTTTTTTATTTATTTTTTTGTAAAATTATACTTGTGTGATTTTGTAACATAATTTTTGTATCGTTTCAGATAAGTACTTATGAAAATTTAAATTCAAGAAATAACAGAAATAATTCCAATATTTGGAGTAATTCTGATTTTAATAGTGAAATAGGTAAGAGGCTTTGTACTTTTAAGGGTGCGACTATGCAGACGCGAGCGAGCGAGAATATGTGGCGAGAAGAGGCGAGACGCGATAAATATCAAAACCTGTCAGATATGTGCGAGAACGAGAAATTCGCTCTCGCCAGCGTTATTTTTCGCTTCTCGTTTGTGCATGGTTTTCCTTTGCGAAAATTAAATCGCAAGCAACCTCTCGCTCGCTCTAAATTCGGGTCTGCACAGTCGCACCCTAACACTATAAAAATATGTTTCTAGTTATTAGAAGAACAGTTAAAGCGTAAATATAAATAAATTTATATTTATATAAATGTGAGCCCGCAGTGTTAAAAATTAGTTTTTTCGAAAGTTGATTGTAAACATCCGCCGACAGAAAAAACTCTCCGTGCAGAGTATCGGATCGGATGTCATCGTTAGTATCAACAATCCAGTGAGAAAGTTGACACTTAGGTGTCAAAGAATGCAAGTCATCGTCAACATAGGACGATCTCGTGACTTTTTTCCCACTATAATGCTATAAAAGCGACAGCCACCGGAAGCTCGAGGCAATCGTCACAGGAAGTTATTCTTGAGCTAGTGTCCATTTTAGTCTTCCGTTCGATCAAGTCTGAGAAGACGACGATAGAAAACATTGAAAACTTTCACTACTTCTATAACCGAACTGATCGTCGCATATAACTCTCCATCCACACATAGAGGCTATTATGAACGGCCTGAGAACTCTCTCTCTCTCCGGCAATAGGCATGGCTGCTATAGAGTAGCTCAGTTATAATTACGAATTAATCTAAACGCATTTAGCCCTATATTACCTATATATATTTATAAATGTGTTCAGCTTTATATAGCCTCTTATATTTTATAGTTAGTTATATTCATTAAACCTTTATTTTGTTATGTTAACCTGTCATCTGTTTTATTCGGAGACCCAAACACCTGTCAACTTACCATTCGACCTTCCCATTCGCTTTTGCCCTCCTATCGCCACCCGACGACACCGAGGTCGGGTTTTAACAACCCGTACCGATTAAGTGGTTAACAGGGCATACCCCCTATAGCCTCCCGCTTATCTCACGTAAATATTAAGTTAATAGCCGTAACCGAATGGTCGGCATCAAGTCGGCGATGCGTACGTCAGGAGAGTAAGACCGAGTATAGGCATCTTCAGTTAGTTTTGGTCTGAATCTAGAAACTATTATTCATGACCCATCATCTCATTTTACTTTATCTTTGATCATAAATTCGTCATCAAAATGTTTAATATACACAACACTGTTTTTAGAAAGAGAAAAGTCATTACGTGGTATAGCTTTAATTCACTTATTAATCATTTCTGGACTTTAGCGAAAAGAAAAACTGCTGTATACTCTGTAGATGAGTAATTGAATTTACTGCCAGTCACACAGCTGCTTTCAGGCATCTATTAAGTAAATATCTATATTTAAATTCTTTTCACTTATAATGTAGAACAGTGGTTCCCAATCTTTTTTCATTAGCGTACCCCGTGACATGTCGTATTTCCAGACTGTACCCCTCATTTAATGTTAATTTTACATATTGTAACTTTAAATTGAAGAAAAAAACTTTAAATGAAAATATGTATAATAAAGTTGTGATTGTTGCAAGGAACATATTTTACCTAATGATTTTTTAATATTATTAGTTTGTGATACATAATATATTATTTTTTCTGCCATAATAACTAACTTTTTTCTGTACCCCTAAACAACCTATCGCGTATTCCTAGGGGTACGCGTACCACAGGTTGGGAATCGCTATATTAGAGCAATAATGAAGCTCCCGTTATCAATAAAAAAAATCTTAACAGCGATTGACTAAGATTTTTAATTGCTCTACATCCATTCTTGGCATATCTACGATGCTATTTACTAAGGATTATGGATGTTATTTTGTAACTTTCATTATCATGCAGTTATAGAACTAAGACAGAATTGGAACAGGGTTAAATCATAAGATAAATATACATACGAGCATGAAAAATAGGGCTTTCATACAAACAAGACTGATCAAATATCATCAGTATTAAAAAAGATTTTTTTTTTTTACAAAAATCAAGCATATTAATTCTAAAAGAACGTTTAATTGAGTTTAATTGAATTAAATAAAATCTTTTATAAAAAGATTATTTTATAAAGAAGCATTTTCATTGACATTGTCATTGACATTGCTCAAGGTGACCTGATTCATTATTATCTCTTGCGTAAGTTTTTAAAAGGAGATGGACAAGTTACTTGTTGATCTATATTTATTTTTCACAACATTAAAAAATGCTATAAATTAACGAATAAAATTTATTATTTTTCACAAAATTAGAAAGGAAAAAATAAAATAAAACAAGAGTAAGTAACGGAAATTCGCGGAAGGCCTTCAATCGAGACGAATTTCTACGAAGAAAGTCTCGACTTTTATATATCATCGTGGCATTTGTGAAAAGTCCAGATTTAATTCATGCAGATTGGAATAAATTCATTTAAAGAATATGATCGATAGATATTCACGAGTTACATTATTTAAATAGAAATTTCCGTTATTCATTTACTTGTTATGTAATGAGGTCCGAATAAAGTGGTTTAACTTTATGTTGTTGGCCTGGTAAATAGTCTCCGATATAAATGTTAATTGGTTGAATACGATATAAATTGGTTGAAGATTCAAAGTGTAGAAATCTAAGAATTGTCTGTTCTTTCGCATAATAGGAACTATACCTTTTACGCAATGTGACCTTACTCTTAAATGTTGCATAGTGATGAGTATAAATATAACGTGACTATTTATGAATCGTTTTAAATTAAAAGGATTTTTCCTGTCTTTGTTTTTAATGTCATTTGCTTTACATATTAAATATATCCATCTAAAAAAAAAAAAGGGATAATTTTCTTCTTGAATTGTTCCCAATGCGTTAATGACAATTCGTTGACACATTTTTTTTTCTATAAATTCGCACATTTTTCTTAACGTTTACACGTGCGATTATTAAATATTTAACTTAGAAAAAATGATAATAATTTCGTTCCATAATTTCCAAGTGTTTTGAAATTAATAAGCCTACATTTATACATAATTAATGTTTATTTTTATCTTGGTTGAAAAGTAGATCAAGATTATAAATTATATTTTTTGATTGTAATTGCATTTTAAGCCAATCTTAATGGCTTAAATTTTACAAAATTTGATATAAAGTAGAACAATTTACTCGACTTTAAATAGAAAGATGAGGCAATTTATTCATGACTTTTTAAATCTTGCAATAAAGTTAAAAATTTTTTTAAAATAATACACAGAGAAATATTGATTTTGCATTAAAATTTCTATCCATGAGTTATTTGTTATGTTTATTACACAAACCATTTATTAATCTTGCCAAATAAAAACATGTAGAATGTCCATTGAACCTAATTTTGGAGTAATCGCATTAGCCTCAATTCGTATGAAAGTGGAAGGTAATCAAATTTGCATGTTGTGAAAGAGTTATAATGCATTTACAGAAATTAATCTTTAAAAATGTTAATCTTTTATGATTAATTTTAAAGAATAAAATTGAACTTCTAATTCCAAGATTGATAACAACAGTTTATAAGTTATAGAATCAATATGAAGTAAGATATTGAAGTTATCTGAGACCTTAAGAACATGTATAGAAAAGATGTAAATTGAAATTTCTTATGATAAACAGTAAAATAAATCTATTTTTATTAATATTTTTATAAAAATAATAAAAATGCATGAATAAATGTAATAAAAACATACTTTTTTTCACTGTTTATCATATGAAATTTTAATTTATATAATTTTGGAGCTCCTGTGTATGATTCAGGAATTAGATCAAATAGGGTCTTGCTAACCCCTCTCTATCCTTATATATAAATTCAGAATGATGTTTAGTTTCTAGAATTATAAATACTTAAAATTTAGTCATCAAATTTTTGTGTTATTTTATAAAATTATAGTGAAAATAATTAGTTATACATTTCACAAAATATTAAAATTTTATATTAATCTATTATATTTTGAGAAATGAATTATCATAAATGACAAAATAAATTTTTATTTAATATTTGTGACTTTTTTCTATTAAAATTCTCATATAAGTAACATCTTTTTTTTTCCTATTAAATGAATGAAAAACATTAGAGTTAGACTTTCAAAAAATTTCTGTTAAATGATAATTTTTACTTTAAAAAATATGAAAAATCTAATTTTTTATAATATAATTATTCAGAAAATAATAAATGTTATACTCAAAAATAAATCTGTTTTTTTTTTCTTATTAAATTTAGTACAAAAAAAGTAATACCAATAACGTGAGCTGTATCTAGTTCATTAAAAATAAAGCAATACATATGTTAAAACATAAAATAAAAATAAAATTTTGATAAAAATTCTTTATATGTTATAAAATTTAAGTTATGAAATTTCAAGATATATATATTTATTCTTTTAACTAAATTATGCCACCATTGTGCTTTGTAAAAATGCAATTTATTCCAATTCTTTCAGACCTNAAAAACTGAATTGCGCATCGTAAAATTGAAGAAAAATTAGACAGGTAATAATTTTTTCAGATTTTTCACACAATAAGAATTTTTACACGAACTAATTAAAAATCGATTAGTACCTAATCGGCACTAGGCGCGTGCCGAAGGGTTAAGCTATAAAATTATATAAATAATGAATATAAATATAATATAATAAATATAAATAAATATAATAAAATGAAAATAATAATTAATGATATAATATAAAGAAAACCTTTTAAGTGGATAACGAATATTGTGTTTTAATTTAAAGTAAATTAAGTAATTATTGTATTTAACATTTAAATTTCAGTTAATGAGAAAGAAGTGAGTGAAGAATACGATATTCAGCACAATTCAGAAAGACAAAAGTGTAATGCAAACAAGACGAAATTCGTCCCTTCAATTAGAAAATACAACAGCAAAATCCAAGGAAAGATTAAAAAAAAATATTTCAGAGTAACTCTTTCATCTCACTCGAAACAAAATCACAAATGTGATTTATGTAAACAGACTTTTGTAAACAAGGAAATACTACAAGCGCATTTGAACTTTCATATCGGAAAAAAACCATTTTGCTGCACAACCTGCAATCAGAAATTTTCCTGGCAATTTCTATTGAAAAGACACACGAAAGAACACAACAGTACAAAACAAAGCGAAATTGATCATAGTAAACTTCGTTTGCCATCATCATCAAATGAACGTAAAGTATCTAAGAGGAAACACTTTCGATGTGACATCTGCGATAAGCTACTTATATCAAAGGGCAATTTAGAGAGGCATAACAAAACACATCACCAAGTATCTCATTGTTGTAAGATATGTAAAAAAGAATTTCAAACGAGATCTTCATTGAGACAACACCAACAAACTCATAGTGAAGATCGACCTTTCAAATGCGATATATGTAAAAAGGGCTTTAAAACAAATGGCCAGTTAAAAAGGCATCGTGAAACTCACAGTGATCAATGTAAGTATTCTTGCCAGATGTGTAACAAAAGTTTTAAAACAAAATGCTCTTTGACAAATCATAAAATCACTCATAATAGAGACTTAAATCATTCATGTCAGATTTGTAACAAAAGTTTTAAATCACAGGTGCATTTAAGAGAGCACGTTGTAATACATACCGATGAACACAAGTACTGTTGTCAGATATGTAACAAGCATTTTAAAACAAAACGCTATTTGAGACGACATGAAAGAACTCACAAAGATAGAAGTGATAAGTATTTTTGTAACTTATGTAAAACAGCATTTAAATCCAGATTTAGTTTCGTTAAACATCGTTTTGTTCAACATCAAAATATGTTTGTTTGCTGTTATTGTAATAAGTCATTCAAAACTAAAAATATGCTGACAGCGCATTCGAAAACTCATATTAAAAAATGTAATATCTGTAAAAAGGAGTTATTGTCTAAAACCTCTTTAATCATTCATCAGAGAATTCATCTTGACATAAAACCGTATCTTTGTAAGGTGTGTAACAGACGTTTTATATCAAATTCTGAGTTGAAACGTCACCAAAATTCTCACAATAAAGACAGTTTTCGTTTCTTTTGTGAGGTATGTAAGAAGGGTTTTTACGATAAATCTAGCCTGTATAGGCACCGACCTGTTCATGAAAAAAAGGAGCATCTTTGCATCCATTGTAAAGGCAGATTTAAAACAGAAATTAAACTGAAACTGCATTTACAATTTTCTTGTTCAGAAATACACCCCAAACAATTACCTTACCAATGTAATATCTGTAAACGGACTTACGTAAATAGTTATGATTTGGAGCAACATCTACTTGCTTACAAGGATCAAATACACTTCTGTTGCGACGTTTGTAAGATGAAATTTACGTCGAAAATCGAATTTCAAACTCATCAAAAGACAGCTCATCCACAAGGAGGAAAGTATAAATGCGAAATTTGCAGTAAGACATTTCGGACACAGACTTATTTAAATAGACATATGAAAATAAATACCGATTCAGGCGTTAAAAAATGTGATGTTTGTGATAAGAAATTTTGTTCGTTTATTACTTTAAAACTTCACGTGCAAAGCCATCTTTTAGAATAGAATTTTATGTGTGAAATACATAGTTTTTTACTAATATACGAAATATATTATACAGGGCAATAGGTTGAAATATTTAGATTTTTCTGATTGCTTCTACCGCTATTTTGTTGGTAATAATTGCCTGCAATTTGAAAAAACTGTTGATCTATTTTGCACTGTTTTTCTGAATGTCTGTATTTGCTTAATCTCGAAGACCGAATAAGATAGATAGAAGTGGTGACAAGATAGGCCCAGATTAACCAGTGGACAGTTTCAGATTGCAACGGAAGCAGGTTATTTTAATTAACAGTTTCTACTGAAAATAGTTAGCTACAAGACGGCACGACTGTATTGCTCGCAAGAAAGTACACGGGTAATCCCCCTACTAATTTGAAATGAAAAAATAGCATCTTTAAAATAAAATAAATTAAAAATACGATTAAAAATGCAGCACAGCGTAGTGATGATGTTTGCAGTTAAAAGTTTTTTTACATGTAAAAAGCCATGAAAGATATGTTCTTTGTACGTTATCTTGTTTGTAATTTGTGTTAAAAATTTATTTTAATTAAGAAAAACCAGCAATTTTTATTATGACATTCCCACAATGATGGGCTGCAGTTTTTACTCATATTTTTAATTTATTTTCTTCAATTTATTTATATGGTCTCTTCTTGAAATTAGTAATGTGTTGCTTCTGTACACCATACTTTTCGTTTAACAATAGAGTCGTGCCGATCGTCTATCTAACCCCTTTCACGAGAAAACTTAAAATAAGGTATAATATCTTCCGGTTTACATCAGAAGTTCTTACGTACTTAATCATGGTCTTCGGACTGTACGGTTTCCTCGTCTGATATGGTTTTTCGGATTTCATCCATCCATTTCTGTTCTCGAGATTAACAAAAAAGCAATACTGACAGACAGCGGGAATTTTCAGATCTACAGATTTTTAAGATTGCAGCCCAACAAGATATTCAAAATAGAATCAATCAGTTATTGTAATAACAAATGTTGAATTCTTTATGAAATCAATTTTTAAACGTTCTAAGATGTTTTTTGTGACTTGTTTGTTTCTTTGTAATTATTAATCAAAAATAAATAACTTTCGAATGATTACTTAATGTGTATTTAATTTAGACAAAAGATCGACCTGTAACTGGAAACATACAATGTGAAAATTCACAGTGTTTAGTGCATGGGCGAGGGAAGCAAGGTGTCTGTCTAACACGGGCAAACTTAATACGTATTTGTAGTTGTTTGGTTTACTACTAACTTCGGAGAAAAATAATTCGAAATACAGTGGAACCTCGGTATACGANAAATTTACAACAACCATGTCGCGACCTTTGAGGTATATTAATGATATGACGAAAGAGGCATTTGACATTGACCACTATCTGCACCCTCGGGATTTGGCAGCTCGCGTGCATGCACCTACCAGGACCGTCTCTGATTCCATTCATTAAAGAGACCTTAATTACAGCTGGTCGGATACTTGACTCGTAGACTGGACACTCATAGCTGGACCACCGAGTACTTCTTTCAGGCTCCTGTCCGTTCTCTTAGGTCCAGCTCTCTAACTTTGGCATAACTTTTAATTGTGCAGCCTGTACTGCACTTAATCCACAAAACTTTCGTTCATTAGTAACTTTATCGTTAATATAGGCCTAACTATTAGACAGCGGGTCCTCTCCCCTACAAGAAGGGGAACCCACTAGCGCGTTCACTAGACTACAGATCAAGTAGATCTATAACCTTTTCCATCAATTCCTTCAGTTTCTTTAAGTTTCCTTTACTAGCTGCTAGCGCTCGAAGTACAGTACTTGTTCAGGCGGCTTGGACCCGTCGACCTGGTCAGCCCCTCGGCAGAAATCTTTAGTTAGCAGACAGTCAAGTACAGTACATAGTGTCTCGCGTCGACGCGACACCCACAGGAGCAGCTACTATCTCCTTGTCTAAACTTGGACTTGAAGTGGGAAAACTTTCCATGGTTGGTCATTATTTGCGTCGTTAGCCAGTTACAACACACCGGAGTGAGGCCAACTTCAGGCACGAAGGAGTAGATTGACCTAGCTACTGTACTTTGAGTCCAGCTGTCTTGCCAGTTTGACATCGATCGTTGCAGTAGAGTACCTTTTATGTATGTAGTCGAGAGTTCCACCATACTCGTTACAGAATGGACCCTAGACCATCACTGACACGCAATTAATTGATTGACCCTGGAAATCGGCTTCTTACAGAAACATAGCTTCCCTATCATCAAATGTCAAGGCACGCTACTGAATTCTTTTGTATCTTTTCGCCCTTAGACTTATAATTTCTAATACGTTGTACATAAAGTATTCCTGCCAAATTTGAAAATTTATAGTTGATGTAATTTAAGAACTACTATAAATTTTCGTTTTTATTTATAATAAACCAGACGTAGACGGCCAATAAAAAAGTTCTGGAAGTTTGAATGAGGGAAAAAGGTCGAAGTTCATTTTAATGTTTTGCATATTATCATGATTATTCACAAGATTTTTGCATGCATTATTGTTTTTTACACTTCGCTTCGAAGCGCAAAGATTATTTTTACCAACGAGAAACTTTTCTTTTAACAATAGACTTATGCCGGCCATCTATTTACTACTTTTAAAAGTAAATATTTTAATTGAAATAACGTGACTTCTGGTTTGCATCGGAAGATCTTATATAGTTAATCCGGGCCTCCTGCCATTACATCTGGTCTCAGAATTTATCTATCTAACTCTCTTCTCGAGAAATATAGAAAGACAGACGACAAACAAATAGACGACAGTGAGAATTTATAAGATAACAAATTTTTTCAAATTTCATCCCAAACATTTACGACGAAGACAACAGGAGGTCAGTCAAGTGTTATGACACGTAACTATTATAAGGCCTCTTTCTTTTTGGTATTAAATTTTTGTTAGTTAAAAGTCGACGAGCGAAGATATAAAGCGTTTTGACATTTTAAATTATTAGAACTTGAATCAGTTTTATTTATTTATCTGTTATTTAATTGTTTGCTTAGAATTTTTAAAACAAAATCACTTTGTAAATTCCAATACAGATTGTAAGAAAAAGGAAATAAAAGAGGAGAAATATGACATTAAACTAGGCATAAAATCAGAATGTAAGGTTGTTTTAAAAAGATTGAATTTTAAAGTAAAAACTGAAGATTGTAAACGAGTTCATCTCCCATATAAATACGAAGATTTAAAGGTAAGTGAGACAAACTTTCATATATTTTACAGGTATTTTAAGTAAAATTTGTTATTACTTTTTGTTTATTATTAAAAGGAAAAGCAAATATAAACAATTTTATACAATTATACTGTAAATTTAGGTTATTTTCTATTAAACAACGGTGTTAATTTTATGGTTTAATTCACTTTTCTTTTTTCACGATAAAAGTAATTTTGTTTCATGTTTTACTGCTTATATGGTTTCCATTAGCTTTACTAACATTATATCACGATTTCAGTTCGTTCCATTACCGATAAATCGGTTCCCACTGTTTATCAAGCTATGCACGTATAGTCTAAAATGTACTTTTTATCGCGTTGCACGTGTATAGTCTTGAATGGAGTTCTTGTATTGCCATACAAGGAATATCCCAGATTAGAACAATTACACTTCATCCCAAATCTGCACTGGCAAATTCATACGTCACTAGGCTCAACGGATTTTAACATGAAACCCCAAATACAGTGGTACCTCAAGATACGAACGCCCCAGCATACGAAATTTTCAGGATACGACACGAAATTCGAACATATTTTTGCTCCACAATACGAACAAAAACTCACCATACGACGTTACATTAGTTCGCAGCGCCATTTTTTATTCACTTCTGTTCATTGGTCCGCGTGTTTGCTTCGTCGTGGAAGGATCTCGCTCGATGAAGGAAATCTTGAGGTATTATCAGAAAGTGAGTGATTTTATTGAAAAGAAACATCCCGAAAAGGTTTACACTGGCCGTATTGCCGCTCGGAGTAATCGCATTTGCCTAAGCCATTTTATAACCATTTTAAAAAGTAGGCAAAGCCAAACCTCTTTGGATAGATATTTAACCAAGTCACCTCTATCCAGTGAAAGCGCTGGTGAAAGTGAAGGAAATAAAACAAAAAGCAGTGAATAAAAATTAAAACAAAAAATATAAAACAACACTAATTTTTTTAATCTTTTCTAACTTATTTTTAAGTTATTGTTACATTATGTTATGTAGGCTAGATTTTAGTATCATTTCCATTCTTCCCCTCCTCCGCCACCAGTTTACACCGCCACCTTCGTCTATTATCAAAAGTAAAGTGCAAATAAAACTATATACTTTTTAAATTAATTATTATTCTATTATGGTTATTTATACATTTACAACTACAAAACGCATTTTTCAGTGTTTTCTTTACTATATTTATTATTTTTTAATGTACTACTTAGCTTTAATTTGAGTGTTTTTTCGTTGGAACGAATTATTTCGTTTTACATGTAATCGTATGGGGAAAAATGATTCACGTTACGACATTTTCATGATACGATCTAAGTTTCGGAACGAATTAATTTCGTATCCTGAGGTACCACTGTATTTATTTGCGGAACCCTAGGGTTCGGCGGAACACAAGTTGAGAACCCCTGGTCTAATATGTTGCCCAGTAGATGAAATCACTACACACTGTTGATTGTGGGTTTGTGGATGGCCAAGTGGTGTTTTCGATTTTCTTCACGTTTCTAGCACCAAAATAGATGCCAGTTTCCCTTATGAAGAACTCCTAGGATGATTCCCCCTTTAGCAGATTGCTCACATGTCGCATTGCCGTATACAACCGTAATCCAAACAAAAAAAAAAATAAATAATTTACAATACATGTAAGAAATAATTTAGTTTTAAGGCAATTATCTAATACATAACAACACATTTATGATATACATAATTATTTTAATGTATAACGTTTTTTTGGTCTTATTTCTATATTCTTTAGCCTGTCAAGAACGAATTCTTCATTCCCGACGGAAATTCTAACAGGAAAGAACAGAACATACAAAGTAAGTAACACGTTACAAGTTTATTTGTTAAATGTTCGTTTTAAGATCACAATTTTACATATAATATTATCGCTTTGCGACATTTATAATTTCGGTGGAGCCATGGTCGATATTTAACAACAATTTAATAGTATCAATCTCTTTAATAAGTAAACCTTACTGAAAACCTGGATATGTCGGGCCTTGTCCTTCACTACCCAGCCGCTTCATTCTGGGTCTGGCTGACTTTATAGTAGGCTTGCTAAAAGAGGCACTCTTAGTGCCCACACGGCGGAAAAATTTAGAAGAAAAAATGTAGCACCTAGCAATTGCCTGCATGGAATATATTAGTGTTTTCCCCTCGTACATTATAATTTTCCTGTTAGTAATACAATGGTAAGACAGATAGATAAGGGAAGACAGTGGGAATTTATGTCTATAATTTTTCCGTAAACGAAATATTTACGAGAACACACTTCCGCATAGATTATACAATCTGTTAACAAAATTTTTAAAAATTTATTTACATAATAACCATTATTCTAGCACATTTACATATTTTTTTATTATTTAAACAAGTCATACGAAGTCTTTCGTACGATAAGGCTAAAAACTTCGATCACTTGCGGTGCCATCCAACCCATACAAAACGGATCACTTCTCAAATATTAATAGTAGGCCGGTGTTAATGAGTAGTCGTTGAGCATCCTCTCTTCCGGTAGGTTTGGTCGAATTAACTTCGACTCCTTTCTGCAAGAACTTCTCTCTCTATCGGACCAGCTGTATGGTGGCATTCGAATAAGAAAATTATATTATATAAGGTTACCGGGCTGCAAAAAATTTAATTTAAAGTTGTTTTCGAGGATGCTGTGTTTAAATATTTTGTCTATTTTTCGAGAAATTTAATTGATTGGCAGATTACCGTTTGATATTCAACTGTGAATGACACAATTTCTTTGAGTTAACATTAAGAAAAAATATGATATCTTATAAACTAAAAATATATTTTAAACATTTTGAGTACTTTGTGCCATTTCGTACCATCCGAGTATGGCGATAAACGTCACATTGGTAGGCTGAAATAACCAATCCCTTTATATGATTTTCGTTTTAATGTTTGTAATATTATAGTATTTGATTTATATAACTACAGTGGTTTATGATTTATCATATCAAGTTACCAATCTAATACATTTTTAAAATTATTTATTCGTTTATTGTACACAATTTAAAGAATTTTTAAAATGTCTTAGAGTGGCCACGCTAAGACATTTTAAATTTTACTTTTTGGTTTAAATCTGCCTATACAATGGCTGCCCAATAAAATTTTTACATTTTTTAACCGAAAGGACCTCAGCCCAAAAATGTCAAAATTTTGGGCGGTCATATTCTTGAACGATCGCCATGTTATGTGTACCAATCAGGAAAGTAAGTGTACATAATGAAGGAATATTGGTCTTTTTTCATTAATCACAACAATTATTACAAAAATTTATCACAGGTATTAAATCATGACATTTATTTCAAATTTCAATAAAGGCTCAATTCAGCAGCAAAGTAACACAATTTATTATCAGAAACAAAACGTAAGCTATTTTATATTACAGTATATCATTAATTATTAACCTTTCGGCACGCGCGTGCTCCGTCAAATAAAAATTACGCGCGCTCGGTCAATTAGGCACCAAATTAAAAAATTAATTAATAAAAATTTAGCGTCGTAAAACGAGTATTTTTACTTTAATCCAGTTTTACGATATGTTTGTAGTCGAATTTAGTCAAAAAACTTTAATTTTGTTATAATTCTGTTGATGATTTTAATTTTTTAATATTAGAAGGTAATTAGCATAAATTACATAGTGTTGTGTTTCATCTTCGCTCCCGTTCAAGTTTATAGGCCCAGATACGCGCTGATGTTTGTTTTTACTTTTACTGGTGTTTCCGCTTTTATTTCATCTTCGTCCGTTTTGGTTACTGACGATGGGGAGACGGGCGTCACGTGATCGCTTACCTCACTTTTTACCACAGAA